ATTCAAATAAACGGAGATCAAAAATAATAATGATTCATAATGATACTCCTAATAGTCTTAAAGAAATGTTTAAAAAATATTTGACACGTGGATTGATTTTCAAATTTTTTGCCAGTGTCACGTTAGTTACCAGAAGCTATTAAAATTGAAGAGGAAAAAAATATCTGAGAAAAAATGTTCTAACAATGAAGAAAATTATAATTATTCAAGGGTATTATATATCCTTTGTGAATTGGCACTTATATCATTTAAGGCAACAAAAAGAATAAAGGGGATAAAGAAATTTAATCAATTCTTTGTGCCCAGCCATATTACATATACATGCTGGCAAAACTAAAAATTTCAAAATCCCACCCAAATCTCAAATCCAAAATATAATAAAATTGTCCCAAATCCAAAAGCCCAAATCCCATCCCAAACATAATAAAATCAGCACTATTTTTGTGAAAACTTACAAACATAGTAACAAAAAAATCAGAAAAAGCATTAAAATATTTAAAAATGCAACTATTAAGACTGAAAATACAAGCATCTTTTACGTGATGGTTTTACTATATCAACAGTTAGAGCAAGATACTATTTTCGAAAGCCGCAGAGTTAGATCTTACTAAAGCAATAAAGAAATGTGAAGAGTTAAATATTAGTTTCTAATAAACTGTAATTCATATTATTTTTATTTTAATAAAATATTTGTTTATTTAATTGAATTCTTTCATAAGTAATTCACAAATTAAAACAAAATCTTGATACATGAGTGCATTTACAAAACATTTCTTGATATTTTCATCTAAATTACTAATTAAACTATCATAAGTATTATTGATATCATGAAAGTTTTTTACAGAAACTTTAGAATTAATATACAAGTTTTGCTTGTATTGAAATCTATTTTTAATAATATAAACTTGTACATATTCAGGTAAGTTTACATAATTATTATTTAACAAGACTTCAAATTCAGATAATTTATTTTCAATAAAATTTTGAACTGAAACAGGTTTACCTTTAGGTAAATTTTTAATTTTATCTATCATCACTTGATCGAAAACTACAATATTTTGGATCGAAGTGATAAGGATAAATTGTTTTAAATCTTCTTTATTTAGTTGGTTTACAATATTCTTAAATTCTTCATAAAGACCAGAAAGAGAAGATACTTCTTTTTCATTAAAAGTATCCTCCTTGTAAGGTCTGCGTTTGTCAAGATAATCATTAAATTCAAAAGGTGAATTTTTAAGAAGAAGTTCTTTGGCACTTTTATGTTCTTTGAGAAAATTGTTTGATATTTTTCTACAAAGTTTCTGAACAAAATTCAAAATGGTCAAATAAATAGCAAATGAAGATCGACAACATGATCTACATCAACAATTAATAAGACAATACAAACCATAAAACTTGTTACTATAAAACACTATAAATAATTTCTAGATTGAGATGGCCGGTAAATGAAAAATAATGTTAGGTTGGCGTAATCATATTAAGGAAGTGGCACTTATTACATAAATATAACCTCAGGAAAATATCAATTGACTGTGTCCCCACATCCCAGAGAACCAACTGAAAGTTCACGAAGGCCAATTTGACATTGTATGTAAATATATTATTAACGTTTATCCTATCATATGAATGAAAAAAATAATATCATGATCTGCAGGTCACATCACTGGTTGTTTATCTAATATTATATTATTCTTACTCGGATTACTTTATATGGAATAACATTATAGGAGTAGTGCGCTCACTGCAAGTCATGCAGATCACATAACAAAAGTATAGTGAGCATCGAATACATAGTCGTGGTGTGATAATACAAGTAGACGGTAAAGAAAAAGTATCTATATACATAATACATAGATTTGAAAGTTGGTAAAACAATATTTACACAATAATATGGTGCCCATGCATAGGTGTAGTGACCTAAATGAAAACGTAAATATAAATATATTTATAGATTGAGAACTGGGCAAATGCAAGATTTACCGCAGTAATAAGGTGCCCACACCGGGATGTAGTGAAACGTACACAATATTGTAATATGTATCTATAACGGTAAGTAATAAATTCTAAATTGAGAACTGGGTAAATGCAAGATTCACCGCAGTAGTAAGGTGCTCACGCCCAGATGTAGCGATCTTCAAATAAAGCATTAAACTAAAAACTGAGTAAATGCAAGATTTACCGCAGTAGTAAAGATGGTATAATAATATATATATCCGATGTTATTTTTGGGGGGAGGGTAGAGATTAAACCCAATAGAGCCAGATAATAATAATCGGGCAGTGAAAGAAACAAGCACTCCTGAACATTTCCTATTCCTACTTCTTTAAATTCTCATTTCATTCATCCCTAATTTTAGTTTCTTAATTTCTCATTTAATTCATCCTTTAATTTCTAAATTTATATAACTCTTTATTCTGGTTACACATATCTTTGATCAGGACAATCCTCATGATAATAACACTAATGCTAACTACGTCAGCTCACGTGTTAGTAACATTCAAATAAAATACTATGGCAACAGTATAATTTCGATAAAACTTAAATCGTTTTATTATTTATCTGTTTATAAAAAAACTCACCATTACATTAAAATATGTAGCATACTATGATTTCATGTAAAATTTCTAAATAGATTAATATATTGTTAGAAACATAATAAACAAAGAAAAAACAAATGAA